TAAATCAATTTACCAAGTATGTAAATCGATTTACCACTGAAACTGAAGCGTTTTTATTTAATTGTTCACTATGCAAATCGATTGACCCTACACACCAATCGATTTACATCTGTTCAGCATGTGATATTTTTATGAGTCTTTAATATATTGGTCAACCTTACCTTGCCTCTCAACCTCCCACCTTCTTCTTGACCAATCATGGAATCTTGACCAACTCCACTCAATTAAGTCTCATAAAGACCTCATTTACTCTCTCTACTATTTAATCTCACCAAAACTCCCTCACTATCTCATAACACCAAAACTCACTCACTATCTCATAACAACACCAAAAATTCTCTATCTTCCTTACTCAACACCCTAACCATCGCCATGGCTCCCAAAAGAAAAGCAGCAGCCTCTGAAAAAGGAAAGAATAAAACTGTTGCAGCCTCTGAAAACTCATTGCTCGAGTACCTCTCGGATACTCAACGTGAAAGATTCATCAAGCATTTTCAAAAGAAAATAATCTCAACTCCCAAATTCGGTATGTTATCTACATTTCCCGATGAATGCTTCACTTTTCAAAAGGATTTGATTGCTTATGGGTTAGAACCGTTGATATCATCACGTGGTTACTATTATCCGAATCTAGTTCGAGTATTTTACAGCAACATGCATTATGATAACAACAAATGCTATACATATGTGCTCGGAACAAGAATTCCTCTGCATTCAAAAACAATAGGCAGAATTTTGAACATTCCATATACTGGAAGTTCTCTCTATGATCCAGAGGATGCTGATTGGGAAAATTATAGGAAGAGAGAATTCTTCTACAGCATTGGCCGGTTGTCAGAAGCAGAATACCGTGCAAAGCGGATTCGTAGTCTTGGCGGTGTTATTCCGGCTCGGGACACTTGAAGTGCTGGTAATTTTCATATTGATGATAGATTGTTCCATTATTTTCTGGTATATATTTTATTTCCTAGAGCAGGAAATCACTGTACTGTGACCGATCTAGAATTGCAAATTCTCTATGCAAGGAAAAATGGCATTTCTGTAAACTGGGCTAAACTGATTGTGGTGCATATGCTAAGAGTTGCCACAAGGGCTACTTTTCTGCCATATGCATACTTCATCACAAGGATCTTGGAAGCATTTGATATTGATTTTACTGGGTTTGAGAGGGTTGAAATGGATCCAATCAGCAATAGGATCTCCATCAAAAATGTTGATTCTCGGATGGGTGTTCATTTCGATTCTGAAGCAAAAACCATCACATATATTGGAGAGGATGTTGTAGGTGATGAAGGCAATAATGCAGATGAAGAAGAAAATGAAGTTCCTCCTCCTGTTTCCTCTTCTGGTCCAACCAACCAAGACGTTATGAATTATATGACTCAACAATTTGCATCTCTCAACACTAACATCAATGCTCAATGGACTACGATAAATGACTCTACCTCCTCTCGCATCAATGCTTTTCAGAACGATGTGAATAAACAGTTTTCATACCTCTACTCACATCTCCATATTCCTCCATACGATCCAAACAATCCAGCACCTCCGCCTCCTCAATACACCGAACCACCTCTACAACAACAGTTTCCATATCAAGGACCCTTCTAATATTTTCCTGACCAATATTATTAAATTCCTGTTATTTATCATTATGTTTTTGTTTTGTATTACTTCAAGTGTTAGTTTTTGTACTATGTGTATTTGAACTTCGTTCGATATTTTTTAGAAATTTGCATTTTTAGTTTCTGTTCATATCGGTTTCAAATTGTTATAAGTATCATCTTATGTTACATCTTTCCCTTCTTTTTGATAATGTCAAAGGGGGAGAAGGATGTGATAACACTTTATGGTTGTTTGTTTCAGTTTTATTTTCAGGGCAAGTTTTCAAATTTTTTTCTCCATAGGGGGAGAAATCTATCTTAGGGGGAGAAAACTCATTTTGCTCTAATTCTGAACAACTCATAAAGAAAGATGGTTTGTCATCATCAAAAAGGGGGAGAATGTAATCTCAAGCCTCAACTCAACTTTAGTTTTGATGAAAGACAAACAAGCACTATGACAAGAAGGAAAATAAGTGGAATTAGCTTAAAGCATCATTCACTCAAAGCTTCAAGGATCATGGCAAGCAAACAAGTATATCAATTCTCATTTAAACTAAATTGATTAGAAATGCTCAAAATGATATACACACTTTCCACAACACTTCACTTAAAGTTTTAAAGCAAATTCTAAGTTTTTCACTAATGTAAATCGATTAACATATCATGTAAATCAATTTACACATGTTTTTTTAAAAACTGATTGCCCCTGGCAGCAATCGATTTACATGGAGTGTAAATCGATTGATTACTGAACTGAGTTAATTTTTAACATTAGTAAATCGATTAACACATCATGTAAATCGATTTACACTTCAAATTTTTTGAAAACAAGAACATTACAAATCCGTGCAATCGATTTACATCTAATGCTAATCGATTTACACGTTGTAATTTTTGAAAAATCTAAACTTGATTCAAGATATCCTTCACACCTTTTCTCCAATGGTTGCATGGTCATACATTGCATCTTCTCAAGTTTTACAAACAGAAAAGTATCCATTTGGAAAGGTATCTTGATTGCTTTAAATACTAAATCTTTCAAATTATAAAACAAATCTTCTCTTATGCAATAATTCTGAACTTTGTAAAATATTCAAACTTCATATTTCTTAATTTTTAAGATTAAAGATTTTCTGCACTTTCACACATATAAGAACAGAAATCTTTGAGCATTTTCTAACCATTGTGTTACAGTTTGAATTGCTTACAAGAGAAGAAAGAAGAAACTTCATTGAAGTCACTCTATGTGATCAACATCTTTCAAGAAATCATATTTCATAGAATTATACTAAAGTGTAACTTATTTCCAGGATTGTTGGAATTAAGTATTAGAATACTTTTGTACCTTGTTGTCCATTGTTGGAAACAAGAGGTATCTTTTGAGAGGATTGTTCTCAAGAGACTTATTGGAAATCCAAGAGGGTGTTCTTGGTATTTGTTAGTGTCTTTAGTTGATAAGACTAGGAAGAGTCTTGTAAAAGTTCTAACAAAATAGTGAAATCTCTTGCGTGTTTGTAAGGGGACTGGACGTACTTCCGGGGTGTGGAAGGAACCAGGATAAATCTCCGTGTCTCTTTACTTTCTGCACTTTACCGTTTTCCATAGCACTAAAACAAAACCAGAAAGTGTAAAATAAATCAAAAATCGACCACCACCTAATTCACCCCCCCTCTTAGGCGCAATCTTAAACTTACACTACGTAGTTACTACTAAAATATGGATAAGGAGAACTAGAGGATGACCAAGACGAAGTTTCCACGACATAATCACTCACTAGGTCGATAATGTTGTCACTTATTCTAACTAAAAGGTAGGAAATGTTGAAGGAGAAAACTTGAGTAAGAAATGTATCTGGTGGTAAGAATTTGATGAAGCTAGAGGAATGAAAAAGGAGAAAGCTTTAAGGAAAGACTTTGAACCACTCCTAGTGATGTTCTTAGGAAAAAGGAATGATGGCGTTTCTATGGAAAAGTAGCTAAAAGCTTGCAAAAACTTCCAAATATCCAACTCGCCCTATTTATAAGCAATGACAATTAAAGGATCAAAATGAACTATGAATAGAAATCACAAGATTAACGACGAGATTTCCACTCATGGAAACATGTAAAACTCAAGTTCACTTAAGCACTCTGAACTGCGTCACGCCATAGTTGATCACGTCATCGCACATGTCAGGAACGAGTGATGAAGCGTCTGAATGATGAAACCGCATTAAATGCACATGTACATCATTAATTTTTCAAAATTGGTCCCAAGCAATTTAGTTCTAACTCACTCCAGATTTCGACATAAATGTTAGTTAATGATACTTAAGGTTTTCCACGACTCCTTTAGTTCTTGGCAATGCCTTGGGGGCAAGTGTTCTTGACCAGCCAAAAGCCCATATTGATCGAGGTTCATTCCATCAAAAGTCCACTCTACTCGAACAAACATATAAAAACGGTTCACACACTATGAGAAGGTACATAATCTCTGATCTCTAACTTCAGTATATTCCTTTTGAATTTTGATCAGACTTGAGCGTAGAGTATTAACCATGCAGGTCCACCCCGCGTCTTCTTAACGAAGCTCGGAGTCACCGTTCATTTCTAGTTCCTTCGTGGACCTAGATCATCAATTTCTAGTTTCCAAATGGACCAGAAATAAATCTCTTTAAATTTTAAAAAATCATAAATATGTCCTTGTTTTTTAGGTTTTTATTTTGACCCAAATTTTTTAAACATAAAAATGACTTAAATACTATATAATAGAGTAGTTTTAATACTATCATGTAAAAAAAAGTAGTTTTGACACTCTATTCAAATAAAATAATTTTTGAATTAAAAACTTTATTTAAAAAATTTGAACTAAAATTCTAAATTTCCTTTTAAAAAATTAATAATTAAATCCAAACGCATCATTAATATTTTATTTGATGGTTTTGTTTGATGGTTTTGTTTATCTCATTCCTTTCAATGTAAGAGAAGAAGGAATTCGAAATGATTGTCATAAAGTGAGTGTCTATAGAGAAGAGGGATGACGAAATAGTGTAATATCATTAAAAATAACGATATGCTATGATTTAGTGCAAATATTTATCAATTCCCATTAAACAATACCCAAAAGTTGACAACCCAATTTCCCAACAAAAGAAAACAAACAATGCAAATTCAATATTATAAACTACACCGTCCACATCACATCAATAACCCTTTGACCCATTTTTCAATTCTTTCACATTCCATTTTACATGTTACACACTTTTAACTTTTCTTCCACCGTCCACATTTTTCTTTGACCAAACATTGTACTACATAGTACCATGTCTTCATTATATAAACCAACATTGCCTATGTTGTTTCCTCACACAATCCACCAACAAACATTTCATCTAAGCAAATTCTTCTATCATCAACAATGGCCACTTCAACCAATGTCTTGAGTTCCTTTATCAACCCTACTACTATTGCCACCACCCCAAAATCGTTTCTAACACCCCCATCTTCTTTCACACCTTTCACTTCATCAAATTCATCTCTCACAAAGAGCCTTAAGATCAACGCAGTTCCTAAGAAATCTTTTACTTGCCAAAGTCAAGTAAGCGAGCACGTTAACACCGGTAATAATTATTGTAATCATGCCAAACATATTTTGTTTTCAATTTTTTTATAGAATTTTTTATATGTTTTTTTATTGACTTAACAGAAAATGCTCAAGAATTGTTTGTGTATGAACTCAATGAAAGAGACCGTGGTAGCCCTGCTTATTTGAGATTAAGCAACAAAAGTGTTAACACTCTTGGTGATTTAGTTCCTTTCAGCAACAAAGTATAATTTCTCTATTATTTTTTGCAACGCTTTAAAACTGTTACTAATACTGATTAAACCGTTGCTGATATTTGATAATTATGTAGTTGTACACTGGTGACCTACAAAAACGTATTGGAATAACAGCTGGAATATGCATATTGATTCAACACAATGAAGAAAAGAAAGGAGATAGATATGAAGCAATCTACAGTCTTCATTTTGGAAACTATGGTTCATTAGCAGTTCAAGGACCATACCTTACTTATGAAGACACATACCTAACTGTGACTGGTGGTTCTGGAATATTTGAAGGTGTTAGTGGACAAGTGAAGTTGCATCAAATTGTGTTTCCGTTTAAGATTCTTTATACATTTTATTTGAAGGGTATTAAGCCTTTGCCTCAAGAGTTTCTTGGTCAACATGTTGAGCCTCATGTTGGAGTTGAAGCTTCTGCTGATGCTAAGGCTCTTAAGCCTCATGCTACCATTGCTGGATTTAAAAATTACTAGAAAGTTGGTTTTCTATGCTTAAAGAGGTAGAAATTTAAAAAAAATAAAGTAGTGTTGTAGCCAAAATAAGCCAAGGCCAAAGAAAACAAAGACATTTATGATTAAAGAGGACATGTAGTGCAATAGACTGATATCATCACATGGCTAATATATGAAGCCCATCAAATTCATTTTGTTAATTGAAAAAATCGGTACTACATTATTTAGTGAATAAATTAGAGAAGTATTTTTAGAATAAGAAAACAAAAAAAATATTTTATTGTATTTGAATTCACTTATCTCGTTTATGTAATATTTTGTTATTTGTCATTAGTTATTATATATAAAATATAATAGTAAAGTATATAGACAACTTAAAAAATTATTTTAAACTTATTTTAAAATATAATATACTATTCAATAATTTTTTAGGACCCGAAAAATTGTTTTCTTGGATTAATGTTATTGTCTAGAATATAGAATTCATTCACGCCCCATGCTTGAATCTAGATTATAGGACCCGAACACGCCTTTATGCATGGCTTCAAAAATTCTTTAATCTCAACGATGTACATTGTCTGCGTTAATTTTTATATTATTTTCTTGTTAAATTTTCGATTAGTTCTCTATTCTATTAATGGACATGAACACATGTTGAGGAGCCGCAATAGAGAAACTAGAGACACCGCTATGGACAAGAACACATGTCGAATGTGCACATAATATATTCGTCTGTCGTGTTGGACCATCTGAGTCACAACCTCAGCCTGAGGTCCATAAGCCTAAGTTGATGTTCAAGAAATGCAAGACCCCATACACATGTGTATTGTGTTATTACGGGGAACATATGACTAGAGATATCTAAGAGGGACATGTAAGTTACGTCTTAGATAATTGTATTATATTTCATTTTCATTTTTTATTTTAATTAATTTCATTATTTTTTAGTTACGCGATAGATTGCTGAAATGTATTAACAATACGGAAAAAAATACTCGTTGAAATCTCATAAGAGAATTATATTAAACTATATTTGTTAAAATATTATTGATTTAATATTTAAATATAATTTAATTTGTATAGACTCAAGTATAATTAAGGTTATATATAAATAGTCTTAGTCTGGATAATTATTTGTACAGTTCATTAATACAAATTATTATTTTCTTTATTATTCTCTCTTTCTCTCCTCACTAAAAATGTCTCACGCATTAACAAATTGGTATCTAGAGCTTTCGGTTATTGTTCTTGATCGAGTTTTCAAGAATTTTACGTCACAAATCGTGTTTCTAAGACAAGTGAATCAACCGATGCGAAGATGGCTAGTGATAAGGGTATTCAAAATTCTCTTCTAGTGCTTGACAGCAAGAATTGGATCCGATAGAAAAAATAGATGCAATCCTTGTTTGACTTCCATGCAATCCTAGAAGTGGTTACCGACGGCGTTCCTGAGTTGGCTGCAAATGCAATCGATGAGCAGAAAAAAAGTCCAGAATGAAGTCAAAAAGAGATTGCAAGGCTGCTTATTGCATTCAGACGGCGGTCAATGCTGCTAATTTCAATAGAATCTCTCATGCTGAAATGGCGAAGGAGACATGGAATATTCTGGTGAAATATTACCACGGAGGTGAGAAAGTCAAGGTTGTCAAGTTACAAACCTTGCATCGACAATAAGAGTTGTTACCGATGGAAGAGGATGAAAAAGTTGCAAAATATGTGTCGAAGGTTCAAAAACTCGTCCATCTCATGAAGGATTGCGGTGAAATCATAACTGATAAGATGATAGTTGAGAAGGTATTGAGAATGTTGACCTCTCACTTTGATCACGTTATCGTAGCTATTCAAGAGTCTAACAATCTTGAAACCACTAAAATGGGAGATTTGTCTGGTTCGTTGGAGGCGCATGAGATGAGGATTGTCGAAAGGAAAAGAGTGCAAGACTCGATACAGGCTCTGCAAGATCAGTCATGGAAAAAGGATAGTGGTTCCAACTAATTTAAAGTCAAGTTCGACAAGACTCAAGGCAAGAAGTCATGGTCAAAACCTCACAAACACCAGGTTGAAGATAAATCTTCTGAATCTTTGAAAGGGGGAGGAGAAAACTATTGAAAGTACAAAGAAGACAAAAAAGGTGTGCAGTGTTATAACTATGAAAATTAGGGACACGTAGCCAATAATTGTTGGTACAGAAAAGACAAGGGATCGACAGGCAAGGAGGAAGGAGCGAACCTTGCACGCCAAGACTTAGATGATTCTGAAGGTGGTATGGTGGTTATGGATGCAATTACAGATAACCATGTCAAATCAAAGATATGGTTTCTCGACTCAGGCTGCTCGAACCACAAGACTGGTCGAAAGGAGTGGTTGGAAGATTTTGACGAGTCGAAGAAGAGCAAGATAAAACTTGCTGATAATAGTTCGTTGCAAGTAGAAGGTACTAGAAATATAGTCTTTCAAATGAGTAATGGAGGGAAAGCTATAATCAAAGATGTGCTTTATGTACCTGGAATAAAGTGCAACCTGCTAAGTGTTGAACAACTAGTCGAAAAAGGTTTTTCAGTTGTCATGAAAGATGGAGTTTTGAAATTGTTTGACACCAAGAACTATTTGGTCTTAAAATATCAGTTGTCGAAGAATAGGACATTTAAAACTATGATCAATTTGACTAAAGTTCAATGTTTGAAAACTGTTGTCGACCACAAGGATAGTTGGTTATGGAATTTGAGGTTTAGACATTTGAATTTTTGATCACTCAATCAACTGATTACTCAAGATATGGTTATTGGAATTCCAAGTCTTGAGATGCCTGGAAAAATTTGTGAAGTAGGAAAGAAATCTAGAAATTCTTTTGTTTTGACTATGCTAATGAGATCATCTTGCATACTCGAAGAACATACAATTGATGGAAATAGATATTTTGTTTCGTTTGTCGATGAGTTTAGTTGAAAGTTGTGGGTCTATGTGATCAAACGAAAGGAATAAGTATTCAAAATCTTTAAGAGATTCAAGATACTTGTCGAAAACTAGAGTTAGAAGAAAATTAAAGTTCTACGAACAAATGGAGGTGGCGAATACACATCCAAGATGTTTGAAGATTTATGTGCAGAACATGGTGTTGATCATGAGGTAACTGCTCCTTACACAACTCAACATAATGGAATTGCTGAAAGAAGAAACAAAACCATATTAGATATGGCGAGATGCATGTTGAAGCGAATTTTTTTGCCAAAGTCTTTATGGGGAGAAGCTGTTTCGACTGCAGTTTATATTTTGAATAGGTGTCCTACCAAGATATTGAAGAACAAAGTTGCTGAAGAAGTATGGAATGGAAAACGACCATCAGTGAGTCATTCAGAGGTGTTTGGCTCTATGTGTTACAAGCATGTTCCTGATGCAACAAGAAGGAAGCTTGATGACAAAAGTGAACCTATGATTCTGGTAGGATATCATAAAACCGGTGCATACAAACTATTCAATCCAGTTAATGAGAAGATTATGTTGAGTCGAGATATTGTGATAAATGAAAATTTTGCATGGAATTGGAATTCTAACAATTCAATTAACAAGTCATTGATGAGTTCGACTGTCGATGAAGAAAATGATGAAGTAGAGGTCAAAGGAATTGTTGAGAATCTAGTCGAAGTCGAAGAAGAAGCAATTGTTGATATTCCGGACACAGTCAAAGTCGAAGAGGTTGTGGCTAAAACAAGCCAAATACCTTAAAGAAATAAATTTCTTCCAACAAGACTTCATGATTATGAAATGGTGGGTGATGATGAAGTCACTCCAGATGGAGAATTAGTTCATTTTGCTTTACTTGTAGGTGTTGAACCAATTAACTATAGTGAAGCTTTGAAGATTAAATAGTGGAAGTTATCTATGGTCGAAGAGTTACAGGAAATCGAAAGAAACAACACATGGGAGTTAGTCGAATTGCCAGCATATACAAAAGCTATCAAAGTAAAGTGGGTGTTCTAGTTGAAACACAATACAAATGGGTCGATAGAAAGACATAAAGCAAGATTAGTAAATCGAGGGTTTCTTTAAAGAGAAGGACCTAACTACTCTGAAGTATTTTCTCTAGTAGCAAGATTGGAGACTGTTCGACTAGTGGTAGCATTGGTATGCAACCAAACTCAGTCGACATTTCATTTATATGTGAAATCGGCATTTCTGAGTGGTCCTTTAGACGAAGAGGTCTATGTCACACAACCTCTGTGGTTTGTGATTCAGAAGGAAGCGGGTACAGTGTATAAGTTTCACAAAGTGCTCTAAGGCCTCAAGCAGACACATATGACATGGAACAAGAAGATCGACACATAATTAGTAGAATTGGGGTTTGTCAAATGCAAATTTGAGTATGGTGTCTATGTTCAGGTTGTAGCACAAGATATAATAATCATCTGCTTATATGTCAATGATTTGCTAGTGACTGAAAATAGCTTGGAAAACTTGTCGAAGTTCAAAGAGATGATGATGAAGGAATTTGAAATGTCTGATATGGGAAAATTGTTTTATTTCTTAGGTATCGAATTTCAAATGTCGAAGAAAGGTATGGTGCTACATCAAAGGAAGTATGTCAAAGAAATACTCAAGAGATTCATAATGGATGATTTGAATCCTGCATCCTCACCTATCGAACCAAATGTAAAATTTGAGAAGAATGGAGAGGAAGACAAAGTCGATGTAACTTTGTTCAAACAAATTGTAGGATCTCTGGGGTATGTGTGCAACAGTCGACCTGATATAGGTTTCGTTGTAGGGTTAGTAATCAGATATATGAGTGAACCAAGAGTTTCACATATGAAGGCTACAAGAAGAATCGTGAGATATTTGAAGGGTTCGATAAACTGTGTGTAATACGATGGGAGAACAAACTTTTGCTTTTTATCGCAAATGTGCGGATAGCTACATTCGCCACTGACTTCTCTTTTATAGAATAAGGAAAGGGTGAAAAGAACATGAAATACCTTGAAGATTTTGAGTTTGGGGGGGTAGGTTATGAAAAGGGAAGGTGTTAG